AAATAGATTGTATAAGTTCTTTTTCGTTTTTCATTGACTGTTGTTATCGTTGTTAGTTAATGAATATACCAGGCATTTAAAAATATATTCATTATTTTTTTATATTCAGAAACAGATACATGATATTTTTTTCATTGTATTAGTGAAGTTATTTTATTGGCATTTAGTATATTGTCCTATAATAGTGGTTACATTGTATTTAATAGGACATTGAAATAATAATAACATTATAAACAAATATTAGCAAAACCCTAAGGCTAAAGTTACAGAATATGTTATTTATACGCTAATTAAGATTGATGTCTTTTGTTTAATTCTATATTCGTTACGCAAAAATTAATACTATTGTTATTGGAAGAAAACGTTAACATATTCTATTGTTATTATTTGTTTTATTATATTTATATGTTTTTTTCTTTTCAGTTTTGGTTTGATAGTGTAAAATTTATCTAACTACCGTATCGGTAATTCAAAACGAAAAAATAAAATATGGTGTGATGCTAAATATTCTATTCCAGAAACTGTTGAACAAATAAGCGAAAACTACTTACCATTTCTTGCCATTTGTATTGGTTTCTACAGAACATATTTTAGTTCGATTGTGTAGGAAGCAATAGACACGCTTTAAATCTGTTCCTGGAACCAACCAGTACCGAGCAATAAGTGTAATGTTTATTGTTCAAGGAAATACCGACTTGCCCTTGACGGGGTTTGAACCCATGCGTCTAGCGATCATTATATTACTAGTCCACCACGTTAACCAATCAGCCTCGCCGCCCTACACATAGAAGTATTATAAGCTGGTCTTTTTTTCTTATCTCTGCGTTACTTTGAATATTATTGGTAAATAACTTTTCCTGCCTATATCTCGTTACTTTTAAAGGTATGCTTTTCTTTCTAGAGACGCGACAACCTGCTGATAGTTTATCATTGGCTTTTAGAGCATTATAACCTTTGGGTTTTTTCCTATCGTTACTATCTGATAGCAATGTTGTATGACAATAGTGTAATGCTTTAGTTTGTTAGTAAACATAAAAACGGACTGGTAAAAAAGGTTAGTAAAACTAAATATGATTCATTATAAAAATATTGCATGTTGTTTTTGTGAGGCAGTGACTATACAAACTCATTGTTAAATTTATATCGATAATTTATATCATGCTAATGCTTATCCGTGAATTTGTTGCTACATCAGATGAAATAATTAATTGCGTGAATGGTATTATAGTGAAAATGCAAAGAAATGTTTTGTTATGTTGTGTTTTAGAAAAGAGAGAAGAGGAAAAATAAATTAAAAGAGTAACATATATTTTTTTTAACAATATGACGTTACTGAATTCTACGAATTGAAAATGTTTAATGCATTTTATTTAACGATTAGTTTGAAGCTAAATCAAGGTTGCAAACGCATGAATGTATTTTGCTTACTATTCAGTTGATATTGGCATTCTAGAAAAATGAATCAAGGAGTTTTGTACAGGGTAACATTGTAAACAAATAACATTGGGGATGAAACATACGGAACATAGCTAGAATTTTGAAGCATGCAGTGTTTATTTTCATTACACTAGCATCCAGACACCTATTCTTTAATGTAGTTATAAAATAATTTGATCGGCATTTTTAAATGCTTTACATCATTATTTTGACAGTATAAAATATGCAGTAATAGATTAATGTAAGATCATGTTTTACGTAACAGCACGAAATATAAGATATTTTGAATATTGACTTTCAAAGAAGTGGCTTAATATTTCATAATGTTTGCAAAATAATGCATAAATAACACATAGGTTTGTGACTATTTTTACGAGAGATGATATTTTTGATGTTACTCAAAAATCTATGTGTTATTTATATCATTACCACAAACAAACACTTCATAATTGAAGTTTTGTCGCATTTAAAATTATATAATCTTTACTTATAGAGCATTTTTATACAGTTACTACTGTTATTATCTTTACTTTGAAGTAAAATCTTAAGTTACATGGACAGCAAAAACCTAAATACAGAACGAAAATAAATTATCATAACTTAAGCCGTTACGGTAAGTTTTTTGTTTTATAATATAAAGTAACTTTCTTTTAGCATAATGTTTTCAGTATTAACTTATTGTAAAATGGTGTAATGGTTGATTTACAACAAGGCTATTTGATGAACTGAATGAATATGAGATATAAAATACACAAATGTAGTACATGTAGATATTTGCGCTTGAGAGAACTTGTTGGTTTAACGTTATATATTAGATGCGCTGAAGTCATCATAATTGGTACAAATAAATGGAGATATAGTCAATATATATAAACGTAATGCATTTTTTTATATGTTCATTTGGTTAGATATGCTGATTTATTATTGGTTCATTATTTATTCATATGAAATATTTGGGGAATATATATTAGGAAGACAATCCCAATGATAATTATATGACCTCTATCATTTCCTTTGTACATGTCTAATTGATGCACTGTTAGTACTATGAAAGTATTCAACATTGTATCGTTTCTGAAAATGTCATGTAAATGTTATTGTTTGTCTACTAACAGACCCAGTTAAACCAAGCCTGCATTTTTTCAAGTTTGGCAACTTTTTGGCTTTCTTAAGGGTCTTGAATATCTATTTTTGACACATATCTTTATTTGACACTAATGGTTTAAAAATAAATGAAATCAATATATATTGAAAAATGTAAAAAAAAAACAGTTATAGCTATTGAATATATTGGCGGCGAAAGCAACTTACACCAAGTAGTCATAATAGAATAGTAGGTAAAAAAAACACCAGAGTTAAAAGGTAAGCTCGTTGTTATCCTGAAAGCATACCTTACTGCAATAAAAACTCTATTTAATACCAACCTGAAAAAAGACCACCGAAAATCTATTGTATGTAATTTATTTTAAAGAAAAAATATAATACACTATATTCTTATACAGCCGTTGAGATCTGCTAAAGTCGGTGCTAACGTGCGTGTACAAAGATTTTCACTCACCACTAATGTCCATTAACATGCTCAATTCAACTGATATTGCATCGTTTTCAGTGTTACCGTACTATTCATATTTATTTAGCATGATCTATTTTACTTTGCTCGTAGCAATATAACAAAACCGGTATAAATTGTAATACAAATCAAGATTTTCACGCCGTTCTTCAGCTAATTCTCCAGTTGAAACTAGTATAATTGAGATCCATATCAAAGACGGAAATCATATAATCAAGTGCACCCTGGTTATCATTTGCAAACAGAAATGTGATAATTGTTCTAATAGTGGTGTATCGGTTTTAGATCAAGTTATAGATTCGAAAATAAAATATTTTCAGCTAATTATCCGCCTGTTAATTCTACTCAACAGTTGTTTTGTATCTTATCCCGTATGTTTTGAAATCTTTATATTTATTAAACTGCTTTATTTCTTGAATATTATATATATCAAATCATCGGGTTTAACCAGGTAATTGGATGAGGGCTTCATCGAATGAATCTGTAAAAATGCAGGTTCGTCTTTCAAAAGCAAAGATCCGTCATATAAGAGCTACTAATTTAATTGAAAACCACGCAATTTACTTCAGAAAGGAAAACCTTGAGAATTCAATATACTCGTTTACAGTATTGTTAGAAAATGACATTAATCAGAACGAATTCAAATGTACTAACAAACAAATTTCTCTATGCATCATATGCATACAACTTAATTGAAACACACATTTAAACTCAGCTTGTACTGTTGTACTTATTCTAGATTTGCCGGAAATTAAAACGACGAGTTTAGAGCTTTTTTTAATATGATAAAGACGATGCAGTCCAAGCCCCATAGCACTAACTACAGTATAATTCAACAGCTCATTACAAAAATGGTGAAATTTAGAATTTAGTAACATCCGCAGTTGTGTTAATAAACCGCGTGCAAAATTTCCGTTCAATACAATATGCAATGAAGTTGGAACAGTAATATCCGGATAAGGCGTCAGGAAGTGTGTCAAATTATACGTTGTGCATCATTATTGAAAGGATTAATGCAAATTCTTGCAGTAACTACATGCAAATGATTAACGAAAAATGAACTATTGTTTTTGAAAATTTTAAACGTGCTGAAAGCAAGGATTTGGCATTATCCTCTATGAAAAAAATAACTGTTTGATTTATATTAAAAAGTTTCGAGTTTTCTTGTTTCTAGATGTCATGGAACACAATTTTGACTCCCTCTCATTTCCTTTTCCCGGTTTTGATTTCGATTTTTATTGGCAATATTGTATATCTATTAAACATTTCAATTTGTTTTTTTTTCTCTAAAACACATGCTAATTTTACGACTATATGAACTATAAACACAACTGGAGTTCCTTTGAGAGGAACGTAAAATCAGAGCTGAAAATTGTAGACTCGGTATGATTGAGTCTGTGCGTGCAAATAATGAAAGGTTCAACATCCCTCACACTCTGTAGTACCGGTTTAATCGATATTCAATCATCTTTTTTTTCTTCTTCTTTTTTTCCTTCTATATTTCATTTTTAACATCGTTAAATACTTTTCAAGCTAGAGAATATGTACACCCAATCGTTTTTATTGTTCTTTCTTACCTAAAATCATTTTTTTTAATCTAAGTACTATATATTTGTGAGTTTTGATACTTCTATCTAATTGATAGTCATTCTTGTAAGGTAATTTATTGCATCAGGGAAGACCTGTTGCTAATGTTGAGAGAACTTTTGGGTCAACCCTTTTTCCAAATATGTCATATCATTGTATTATAAATGTTTACGTGTATGTTTTGGCAATAACATATGTTCAAATCAATCAATCATTTAATCATTAACATGAAAAATAATGTTATTTAAAAATAAACGCTAAAGGTATTGCTAAATGTTACAACACTGACATGAAAACTTAGACAGCTTTTACAGCAGCCTCGCTGCTGTTTTGGCAAATGTTCATTGAAATTATTTATCAAAATTCATATTTTCTTTTATAATCTATATCTTATGTATTTTTTTAGATTTCAGGTAGTTGGTTGTACTTCATCTTAAGGTGGATAACAGAAAGATAAACAACAATCATGGAATATTCAAACGAGACTACAAATATAACATTTGTGTACGTCAATTCAAATACTAGCAATGTTACTTTACCAGTAGACAATAACAGGACGTCATGTGGAACTGTGCATGATATTGAATTAAACAAGTCTGTCCGTCTTGCAATTCTCTATTTGACTATGATATTTGGCGTCTTAGGCTGTGCGCTGGTTATGTTCTGGATGACTTGTAATAGGAAAGTATCCCGTGGGTTCAATCATTTGTCTAGAGTAAATTCGTTCATACTGAATTTAACGTTTGCTGATATTCTGGTGATTTTAATTGCTGTGTTTCCTCAATTGATATGGGAATATGTTGACAGAGAGTGGTTGGCGGGGCCTGTCATGTGCAGATTGGTGAAATTCTTGCAGAGTTTCTCGATGATGTCAAGCAACTATATCCTTGTAGTGATTGCTATAGACAGACACCAGGCAATACGTGCTCCACTGAAGGAGTCTATGCCAGTAAGTAAACCTTAAAAGGCACATTAAGTCTCAGAAATAAATCATGTTTTCCATCTTTTACAAAGGGCAAACAATTTTATAACGTTTAAATAATAATTTAAGAGCATGTAAAATGTTTATTGATAGAAGAACATTGCATTGAATCTGAAATCATTTGTAATAAAAAGTAGCATAATGTAAACAAAGTAGTATTTTGACTTCCATACAAAATAATAAATCACTTAAACTTAACTAATTGCAAAAAAGTAACAGAAACAATAAACTGTTCAGGTAAATGGCCAATGAGTATCTTCTTTGGGGATCTATTATAGGACACCAAAATTAAAAAGCTTTTTGATATCAATTGTAAAAACATTTCCGAGGCATAATGGGCCTTTGAGATAAATCTACATTTATATACTACTGTATATAATAAAGGATTATCTGCAGATTTTTGTACATTGAAATTTTACCATTGCATGTAAAATGTTGAACTCTGCGGCTGGTAGGGGCGAGAATGGTAGACTGCATTTACATCTTCTATCGCCCATAAACAGGCTTAATCAAAATTTACAGTTTACCATTCTGAGCATTTTTTAAGGATTCATTCTTTTCGTTCTCTCTTTACTTAAATTTTGTATCAATATATCTTTTTCACCACTATAGGTTCGAATCCCGGCAATGACTTTGGGATCTTTCATGTGAGAAAGCTATGATCCAGCTAGCGTACGGAAAGTCGGTGGTTCTACTAAGTTGCCTTCTCATGCCTTAAATAATGTAAGGTTTGGCACCTGAGGTCCTCCTCCAGCAGTAAAGCTAGAAAGTCGTTATATGACCTTTACAGTGTTGGTGCCACGTGAAACCCGACAAAAATAAATAATGTCTTATCAGATAGCATTTGGGTGCAATTTTTCCTTTCACAATATTTAATTTAATAATACGTGATTTACCTCTAAAGTTATAAACGAAACAATATCATTCTTGAGGTAAATATCAATATTCTGTATTACAATTCTTATTTCTAATAATTATCTTGAAACGAGATATTTTTTGTTATTAGTCTCATCGGTATTTTATTGTCCCAAGCACTGTGCTCTAAAGTAATAATATGTCGTGTAGAAGTCGATGATCATCCTTCAAAATGGGTGTAAACGATGACAATGTTGTATGAGATACATTATAATCTGTCATATTTTAGTCCATAGAGACATCTCTTTGGCATTAACATTGTTCTGTCCGAATGGTAGACTATGCGTCATATATAAATACAATCGGAATGATCGGCTATTATAACCGACTTAAAGGCCTGAGAAGTTGCAAGTGCCCTTTTACAAAATCTGATTTCATATCATAAGGGGCGTCGCACTGCCAATAACGATCAACAAGACACAGAGAGAGTGACTTTCAATAAACACATTGCTAAATAATGTCCAGCAAACGTAATTATGCTAGTCTACGTTTGTCTATAGTTCTTTATACGTCTCTATAGTTCAAAGGAGCGTTAACCTGGTGGTGAATGAGTCCTTCACCAGTCATTACCATGTTTATTTACATGCCGCTATCATTTGTTAGATACTGGACTGGAATTATAAAGAACTTTTGTTACAACTGGGTTCAAATTGATATAGTTTAATTTTAAAACCCTATTATGTGTCAAAAACGAATAAAGTTTTCATTTTTGTAGAAAGGACATGTGTTTAAATAATAGTAATAGAGCAATTCAGATCTTTATCAACTGAAGAAAGAGCTCTTAATATGAAAATATTATTTAACAAAGAAGCAAAATGTAAACAAAATAGTATGTTGACTTTTAAACAAAATGCTTAATCACTATAGGTAATTGTACTAATTGCCAAAAAGCAACAGTAGCAAAAAGATGGTTCAGGTAATTGGCTAATAAGTAACGTTTTGGAAACCAAAATACGACACCAAAAATTAAAAGCTTTTCAGAACTAAAGATAAAGGCATTTCTGAAGCATAATGGACCTTTAACAATATTACTGTACATTTCAAAGAATCTTCCATCTTAAAAAATATAATACATTAATGTTTTCTTCTTTCAGGTATGGAAGATGGCGGGTCTTGGCTGGTTACTTGCAGCACTATGCTCTTTACCGATGTTTGGCGTTTTCCATCTTACGGAAAGAAACGGAACATTTCAATGTGAGAATATTTTCCGACACAAACCAATTATTCACAGACAAATATGGATAGCATATATATGCTTTTCTGTTTTCTTTATACCACTTCTTATACTCACAATATGTTACATAAGAATATTCTGGAAAGTTGCACAGAAGGCAAACGAGAACAAGAATAAGACAAAGACTCTTAGATTCAAATGTCAAACTGCAAAAGTGAAGATACAATTACAAAGTACAAAATCAACGTCATTACCAAGAGCCAAAATAAAGACTTTAAAACTCACTTTTGTAATAATTATGACATTCGTCGTCTGCAGTTTGCCTTATTTTGTTATGGAAATGATAATGTCGTTTGGTAACCATTGTATAATATCAAAAGCGGTTTATGGTCTATTTGGGGGAATGGCGGCTTGTAACTCTGCCGCTAATCCATTCATATTCCTAGGATTTAATGTGACTGTTTCCTGGCTGAAAGAGGTAAGAATTCGTATAGCGGCTGCCAGGAAACGGAAACCGAGATTTGTGTATTCTGCCACGTCGAGTATGGACTCTCACCCGTCTTTGAGACAATTTGGTCAAGCACAAACTTCGCACACGTTTTCGCAATTAATTTGAAATGGCTACTTGTAACGAACTGACAACAAATACTTTATTCCACTTCTAATGAGTCAGCAAAAATGTCTTGCAGAATTATGCGTATTTAGGTAAACAAACAAAAATGTTATTTATACGCCATAAACAACTTTTTAGTCAAAAGATATCACGAATTGGTAATCTTATAATTTCCGTCTAAAGTCTGTAACTTATGTCTTTATAACACCTGCTGTTTCCTTAGTTATAATCTATTCGTTTCATTTTCAATTCAATATTTGATATTACATATCAATACGTTTTTGTCCTTAAACTATTCTTAAAGCGGCCTTAAGCTTTTATTATAATTGTTTGTTTGAAAAAAAAATACTGTGCTGTTTCAATAATTATATCTTCGGAAAGAGCATCATATCCATGTTAAGAGTTATTTATAGCACGCCAAGGACATCCGTTTCTAAAAATAGAAGATTGGGAAACGAATTGACCGATTTTCTTATTTACTTATAGAGAGTGGACCGGTAGATTAGAGGTATCGAGTGGTCTCTTTATTGTGCATGTATTTTATTGAGGGCAAATTTCATTTTCCGCCTTAATTCTTTTGATTTAAGAACTATAAGAAACGTTTTGTTTAGAACGGTCAAAACTAACATTTAAAAAAGCTGAAGGCCGCTTTAAATTAATCAATTTTATATTTATCCATTTACTTCAGCATTATCACAGGGTTGTAATTAGAACGAATTATATTTGATATTGCAAATATTATTCTGATTTTGCAAATTTATCGTTTCTTTGAGTATGATGTTGTTTATCTTGAGTAAGTGTCAGAATATAGTACTGTTATAATAAAATAACATTCATATTGTACAACGTTCATGTAAGGGCCTTTGTGACCGGCTGATTACGGTTGACGCCACAGGTCCGCAGAAAGACGCGGCGAAAACCACTCGAAGACGTGTCGATCTAATGCGTAAAATCATTTCAAATGAAAAACAAATACTCTATTATACTCGGCGGTATACCATATAATAATTATAGACTTGCGTTTTGTTCAATATGTAATTCGTCTGACCTGATAAAAATTATATTGACATCGGACTTTTGCTCTCGGTCAATATCACTTTTCTCAGGTTCAAAAACCTATATATAGACCACAACATAAGTTTATAATTATATGATATATTATTCGATATGTTAGACATTTATTCACAGTATTCGATTTCCAATCTATGAAATATTAGAAAAAGTAACTAGGTTTTGTATTATATGCTCCCCTGTATTTATTAATTTATTGTTTAAGTTTTGTGTAATAATGAGACGCTATATTTATAGATATTGTGTTGAATAAATGAATCTTCCATACTTTATACTTTACATCTGGTTAATATTATAAGGATATTTTATACATTTCTGTGTACAATACTGAATTATGTTGGACGATAACACAGCTGTCACACTTATATTGGACGAGCGCATATCGAGTCTGTTTTAGATATGGCAGCTGTGTACGAGCCTAATAGAATTAAAATTGTTCTCAGCAATGTATAATGACCTCTTTGTTTCACATCATCATATTTTATTTGTCATTTTGACAACACATTATTGCTTAAAGTACAATAAGCATTTGTGTCTGGACTTTAAATTGAGGCTTGATAACACTACATTAATCATTTGATATAGATATTTTGGACTCCGCAAATGAAAACGAGGCTATATAGTGTACGATAAGCATTTTGTATAGATTTTTAAACTCTGGAAATAGAAACGGAGGCTAAATTGATATGATTAGAGTTAATAATGATTTCTATAAGAACATCACGTGATACACAAACTGAAGGCTAATTGGTTTTATGTTAAAGTGTGTGGAATAAATTGTACTGTATCTTGCATAGTTTAGAATCGAAAATTAAAAGTATGATTGTTTAATTTTCTGAAGAGCATTTTACTTATGATTTAATGAAATTGTTCTGTTTGAAAGGAACTTACGGCAAAAATATTTTTGATTAATAAAAACAGCTCTTTCATACTGCCTTTTGTAAACCCATTACTTCATAAACATTTTGTGAGAAAAGGCTGTTCTCATTGAAAAGCCTCTTGTTACTTGTTACAAATTGCCATGAAACTATAAAAAATGCTTCAATACTGTTCAAACTTGGCACAAATGTTGACTGGACCGTTGTAACGGCATACTCAAACTTATATTTCATGTTACCATGGCAACGAGGGGACATCTCAAAATTGCCAAAATTCACTATTTTGCGCTGATTTTTCGATCAAAACTGATTTCAAAGTGCTGCAGCTTCTCAATAGCAAAGGCTTTTCAGCGTTGGTTACACTATACCTTAAGGCCGACCTGAGGCCATTGTAGCCTCTAAATAGTCCACAATTTTCATGGAGATGAGTGGTTCTGCAGACATCGTTTAAACCCACAAGCAGAAGGGGGCACATCCCCCTATCTATTTGATAGGGGGATGGTGATATCACTTTTCTAACACCATTTCTCAAACGAAAACATGTATTTGGGGTCTAAATAGGGCTTTTAAAACTATTTGAGACCATAAAGAGGGCATACCTCTGTATGAAGTAATGGGTTAATTGATATAAATCGAATAAGGCGTTTGAGTCAAAACAGTTAATAATATATGTTACTTCCAAAAAACAACCTATTTTAAATAACAGGAAAGAAATTCTTTGTTAGGGCATACTAATTGTATATTTTATATTTACATGTTTGTTAAATGTTTTAAACTTTTCTTTGTAAATTTGTTATTTCTTTATCCTACGGTTTCCGTCTCCAACAACTTACCCCTGTTTAAATATAGTACATTTTTAGATATTGCGCATGGTTGCACATCTAGATTTATTGCCTTAAATGACCTTCACAGAGGTTTAAAAGCCTAAAAACAAAAATTGAATTTCTTAAATATATCAGCTGAGGTATCCAAAATATCCTAATAAATATACTTCAAAAATAATTGAAAATCGTATTTTGTACTATTCTAAACTCGATCTGATTGAAGCGCTGTGTAACGTGTTTTAAGTTTGGGTCATATTTTACAATTTAAAAAGGGACAACGGATCGACGAATGATCTGGTCCAGACCTTCATCAAATATCAAAGTAATCTCGAAATATTGTTTAAAGTCCCATCTTGTCAAAAGCGTCATTGGAGTTCCTTAAATGAATAGAAAACACATATTATTCAATCTTAGAGCCGTAAGTTACTTACAAATATGAAGTATTCACTTTCAAAATGTCTATCTAAAACACATTAAGATATAAGCTAGAATCATTTATTGAAAAGATCAAACTTTTGACTCCATGTATATTAATGTGAATTGGCCTGTATTAATGTAAGGCCCCTTGTGGCAGAGAGGTTGCCTTTGAGAAGTAATGCATTAGAATTGCAGCCACCGTTTATCCCCGTGACCGTTTGAGACGACCAAATGGGTTCGAATTACTGGAGTCTATGCATCTCTTTGCTGCAGCAGGTGAGCTGGTTTTGACCCACGGTGTTGCTTTAAGTTTGTAACACACGGGTTTAACAAAAATCATATTTGAATTCCTGTACCGGGGCCATATGACCTAAACTGTGTTGGTGCACCGTAAACAAAACAAAGCAATCCTGTAGTGGAAGGTCTAATAAAAATAGGTCCTCCTGGGCTCCTTGCCACTGGTATTGTTGCTTGGTCGTGTGGGGGTTTGCGTTCAGTGAACGCCGCCTTTCCTTGTTTATCTTGTTAATCATATTTTAGTATCATACATAATAACAAAAACCACAAAAAAATTACAAATGAATGTTATTGGCAAGTGTGAGATACATGATCCGATATTACATACCAGTATAAAATAGTTTTTTAAAACAAAACATTCATCATTTAAATGTTCATACTAAATCATTGTCTTTATTAACATTTTTATTCAAGCTATAATTAATAAGAATATCTTAATTTCGCATTCCTTTTGGTTTCCATCAATATTTGAAATATTTATAGAAAAGGTGCCTATTGTAGACCAATTCATTTTGAACAGTTTATCTATATTTCCAATGGGTACAATTCCTGCACAACACTTTTCCCACTAACTCAAATATCAAAATATGAAACTCCTTTTGCGGCAAGGCGAGGTCTAAATAATTCCACCGAGATATAAAAGTAATCAGTTTCTTAATTATTTATGGTTTTGAATCTGATACTTCGTTCTATAATTAACAAGAGTGGTTGGAAAAGTAAAACACTTTTCTTCATTGTAGTACTCTCTTGACATTATATAAATAAAAGTATTCACTGAATTTATAGAAAGTATTGTCTTACTATACATAAAAATAACGTCAGGTTTTGACATACTAACATTTTTGCATAATTCGAGCTTCCGTTAATTCTCTAAAATAAAGAAAAACGGAATCTCTAAAAAACGGCCAAAACGACATAACTGAAAATGTTGCAGGCTCGGTTTGATTGAGCCTGTTCATTGACAGTTCTGAAAAGTGCAAGTTACCGTCCACGCCCCTAGCACCGGCTTAAGCAGAATATAACATTTAAATATGGAAATGGTGAAATTTTGAATTTAGAAACATCCGCAGATGTGTTCATACGGTAAAAGACTGTTTAAATCAATTAATGGTAAATCTGAAGGAATATATATTTTCCTGCATGTACTCGACGTTGTTTTAAGAACGCTTAGGAAAAATGTTTTGAGCCCCTTAAAGTTATGATTATTTTTACTTATTACATGTCCTCCCTGCCTTTCACCGCCCTTGTGTCCTCTCCTGTTTTTGGTTCGATGTTTTCTTGTTGCCCAGCTGGTATGGGGGGGGGCGTTATGTGAACGGCGAGGGGAAGCGGTCATTTAATGCCAGATTTCTTTTTCTTATTTTATCTTCTTATTTCTCTTAAAAGTTGCAATAATATTTTTGTCAAGGTCATATGCATTAACAATATGTTATCAATACATTATGTAATAAAGTGTTGCTTAAAAGGCTAAGCGCAAATAACCGATATTTTCTCATTTCTGACAGGCAATATAATGACAACAAACAGATAACAGTAAAATAGCGCAACTTCCGTTCAATGGCATCATTGCTGTCCAAACATTTCAAAAGTATTCTTGACTTCAGGAAATGATTATAAGTCTTTAAGAGCAAAATACAATAAAAAGAAATAACAAACTCACAACGTTCAACATAAGGTCAATCATGGTTTACTACAAGCAATGGCATATTCCATTTAAAGATAATTTCGTTTTCAATTTTTTATGGTTCCCACATACTAAATGTTAACCTTAATATTTCGTAAGTAATGATTACCAAAAACTCTGCGTCTTGCAAAATTTCATGTAGGTTTAGAACATGCTTCTCTGAATTTATTGTGTCTTCTTACAGATCATAGATTTTCTCGTATCTCTTTTGATGGAAGATTTATTATTTTAATCGTACCAGATAAAAGTTATATTCACCTGCTCGAGTAAGAAGTCATTGCGTTCAACGAACGCCGCCTTTCCTTGTTGATCATGTTTATCATATTTTTTGAACTTATATTTTCGAAGATAAATTCATGAGAAATCCCTGGTTCTGAATTTTTCTGCAAGAGGTATTGTCAAGTAAGGGGAAGGTAAAATATGGAAAACAAGATCATCGAGGAAGGGCGGCGTTCAATGAATGCAATCCCCACACGTGCCAGCAACACAGGACAACCGACAAGAAACACAGCAGGACACCAAACAAAAGCAGATCAAGGCACTTGGCAATGCACGGAATTCATAACTGCTGATGTATATTCGCAATTTTACCAATATTGAATTCTGCTTAATCAGGTTTAAGGGGGCTTGGACAGTAGCTTGTATTTTCCTGAAGTACCGTCCATGAACAGGCTTAATCAAACCGAACCTTCAACATTCTAATTTTGTTGTTTTGGGCTGGCTTTAGGATTTCTATTTTACCGGCATAAAGTTTTTCGATGTACCCAAAAGCCTATGCAAATATCAAAATAAACGAAAACCTAGACATCTCTTTACAATACTGCAAATCAGTTTATACTCTCTCAATACACATCTACACCAAAACAAAACTTATATAACTTTATTTACAGTGTTGTACATGTACCTTCTTTTGTATTCTTCCCTCACTTAACTTAGATAACACATTTTAATGATTTTACACTTGAAAGATAGTATCTTTTTAACACACAATTACACCCTTTTTTCTATCATAATATTTTGAATTCATCACGAAGGAGGATCAAATTTGACATTAATCGCTCTTTTTAAAAACAAAATGTGTCAGTTACTTCATAAATTAATTGGATTTTTTTTCTCTTTTTTGCTGACTTCGTTTCAATAGTAAGACACAATATTTATAGACACATATATACATTAAATCAAGTCACGTATAAATCAAAGGCATTAACGAGATCTTCTTTTCCTCAAGGAGGAACTTTAATGTATTTTCTATTTAAGATTTATTATTTCCTATGTATCTGCAGGGTTTTAAGGTTTTTGCAAATCATGGTTGTATAGTTTATTCGTTCCTTGCTATTGATTACTTTCAAACACATTTCAACATAAGAGCATATTCGGCGACATTTGCTTTGATCTTAAAGCACGATATTGAATCTGTAGATGGTAGTACATGCTTGGAATATTAAAGAAAATAAGTGTATTAATACCTAATTAAAATAAAGCTATCCAATATGTGCCTATTTTTTATATGTGTTTATTGTCATTGATGGCTGAATAAGACTCAGAAATATATACTACAATTCCAAAAAAGAAAATGCAAAGAAAAAATTCTTGAACATATCTTTATCTTATTTTATTGTGACTAAAATGCTTCCGAAAGATCACACTTTATCCAGCTATATTAGAATTCCCACTTGATTACTGTTGATTCACCCCCTCCAATAACATCTGATCGCCTTTCAAAATACAAATTTTTTTAATTCAGCTCATTATTTTCTATTTCAGGGCACGCACATTTTTTGAAATTACTTTGCCTTGTTGATCTTTGTTCTCAATTCTGGAAATGTTAATCAATATCTATTACATGTAGTAGTCATTTGAAATACAAAATACACAACATATTGTTATGTAAATTCAGGATTTTTAATTACTTTTATTCACAAATCAAACAAAAATTGTATACTCTACAGGCAGTAGTTTCATGACTTTATAAACTGATGAGACTAAATGTACTTTCCAAGGCCACTTAAATACTGTCACCAAATTCTTCCTTGTTGTCAAAGTGAAGGAGTGCTTAATTTCCGCCCTGATGGAATAAATACATACATAATATATGGTGTTTTTTATATAAAGGAAATTACGTAGACCTCTTACTCCTTCATTTAGACACATAATTAATACAGAATGTACATTAGTCGAATACGTTAGCTTCATTTTCGTCTCCAGTTTCTACTGATACACATTGTTCATTATAGTTACATGTTAAAAAAGAGAAAAGAAAATACCTAAAGTTGAAAGCGCGGTTTGATTGAGCCTGTTCATGGACAGTACTGAAAAGTGCAAGTTATAGCCAACGCCTAGATGCCCCCATGCATCGGCGTATTCAGAATTCAACATGAAAACATGAAAATAAGATGTATATATATTTGGTTAAAAATTCATGTAAAATATTAGCCCCTGACTAGAAAGTGTATCATCTTCAAATATGATAAACAAGATCAACAAGGAAAGGCGGCGTTCAATGAACGCAACCCCCACATGACCCAGCAACAAGAACCAATGGCAAGGAGCCCAGGCG